CCCTACTAAGCACCAGACAGTTATAATGTCCCTGCTTGAGAAGCAGCTTCGGCCGACAGGGTTCTATCGGTGCCCTCACTTGTGCTTGCTCCGATGAGCTCGCACCTTCGATGAAGAGACTCCCAAGACTCTTCAATGTTAGTATCAATATTAGTATTACTATTAGAATTAGTATTGATATTAATACTAGTATTAGGTTTAGTATTAGTATTAGTATTAGCCCAAAAAGCCCAAAGCTCCGAAGCCCCGAGCCCTGGGTCTTCTTGTTCTCGTCTTAGGAAGATACTCCTGGCCTTGCCCATCGAAGGCTTTGGGATGCTCTACTTGGAGGATCATGGGACTTAGGTGAGGATAGGACTACCTTAGCTGGCCTTTTCAGTGCCTTTGAGCAAAGGTAAGCTTACGTAGAATCCTAGTTTCTAGATCCCGTGAGCCTTGTCAGTTCCTGAGGTCTAATTAAGAGTCTTGGGCTCACGACATGTTTGGGATTGTAGCTCTCTGGGGGCGTGGGGGGCGGTCTAGGGGGCCCAATATTAGGTTATTAGGTTTAGGGTTAAGAGACCTCTGGGCCCTTGATTCACACGTTCCAGAGTTTTTGAGGACAATGACCGTGGCAAAGGGACAAAGAGTCCTAATTAACGGAAAGGGGGCTACAAGCATTCGAGGCCTGCGGTACAGTACATTCGCAAATTCTACAGTGATTCTACAGCCTGAACCTGAACCCCTCTGCCTTTTGGAGGTTTGGGTGTTGGGGCCTGTGGTTGAGGTGTTGGAGGTGCTAAAAAGCATTAGGACGAGGCTGCAGACTGTGGTTCTGGAATTCTGGAGCCTTGTTTCTCCATAGAGCAACAGCAAGGGCATCCCGGCTCGGGCTCAAAGAGGGTGTGCTGAATTCCTGCCAAATATGTTTGCATGAACGCATGGGCTTGGGCGATGAGCGAATTGTGAATCCCAAAGCAGTGTCAAAGTCACTGCGCTGCGTTATCTGTACCGACGTTTTCATCGACCCCGTTTCTGCAAACGGTTTGGGCCATTGCCGCTCAACCATGGAGCAAAGCTTTGCTTTTCATCCAAGTTGCCTTTGTTGAAGCTTCGGAGAGTTTCCTTCGGGAACAGGGATCACTCCAGTTGCCTGAGGCCAGCACGTCTTCTGCCGAAGCTGCATAGAGCGTGCACTTCTGCGCCGACACGCTTGTCCTACTTGCAATGCCGTCATGCATGCCTCCGAGCTCCAGAGCCTTGGGCGCAACTGGTGATGCATCCGAGCTTGAGACATCTTGAGAGACTTTTTTTTTTAGTTTTTCGCGTGAGCGCTGAGGCGCAACATCCTTGCACAGTCGCTGCTAGATGAGATTGAGATTAGATGCTCCTGTTCTGATTGCAATTGGACTGGTCCACAAGATCAGCACCTCGGCTTGCCATGCAGGACGCTTTGTTTTCGGTAGATCGGGTACCAAGCGACACTACTTCACACCGTGCAAGCTTACGACTACAGCAACTGTCTTTCACAAGACATGCCTTGTCTCGCTGAAGTGACCCCTCAGCAATCAGTGCAACAAGAAGCTAGTCTCGATGTAAGACGGCACGGTCCGTGCTCCCAAGTCTTCATACCTTGCAACACATCTTGCTATGCACGTACCCCTGCTCGGACATCAATGTGCTGGAAATAAGAGCCACAGCAGGTTTGGAAGAGGACATTGAACACATTCCTCGAACAGCGACCCGAAGTTAGCAAAACAATCCCCTGCGCGGCGTGGGCTCCCGAGGCTTGCTGCCCACGAAGCAAAGTGTCCCGTCGTGGCTCGCGACAGCCTTCGGCGTGTTGTCGCCGCGCAGCAGGTTCAGTTCCTCGGAGCTTGGGTGGGAACGCAGGAGGTATTGGATATGGAGAGTGAGAGAGCAATATCACCACACCACCACACTTTCACCACCAACAACAGCGACATCAACATCAAGAACGACACCGCAGCAACGACAACAACACCAGCAGTGGCGGCAGCAACAAGAACAACAACAGCAACAGCAGCAGCAGCAATAACAACAAGCAACCACTGCTACTGCTGCTGGGGCTCCTGTTCCTGCGGCTCCTGTTGTTCCTGCTGCTCCTGCTCCTGCTTCAGCCAGTCCTGCTCCTGCTTCTGCTACTTCTGCCACATATGACCATTGCTCGTACTCTTTATCATTGTTGCTGCTGCTGCTGCTGCT